TATTCAAATCTATTAGCAGTAAGGATATACATATTCCTCTGAAATAATTCCTCAATTAATGGATGGCCTTCTTTCCTGAGAACTACTTCCTAAATCTTACTCTTGGAAAAGAGAAAAAAATAGTACATATAATACAAAAGTGTAAGTTAGGCACTCATACAACATATAATTTAAATGACTAACATGCCATTTTAAATAAATGATACTTAAATGGTCTAAATTGTCAATAACCATTACATCAGTGACAACAAAGGCCCTTTCGTATATTTTAACACATTAATTAGCATTCTTTTAACCTTTTTAATTCCTAACCAATAACTTTTAAAGATCCAGAGTTGGAGAATCAGTGTTTTAGACATATCCAAGTGCTATCTAATATTTTTTCCCCTAATTGTTTTCTACCATCTCTAACACAGAAAACCAACCATTTTGGAATCAGGCACAATATCATCCAACATAAAGGAGTATATTAAGTGCACTTAGATTTGCATTGCTTAACAAATCCAAGTGACATTTCATGTTAGTTCTAAGAGAAGTTCATCCACTAAGTAAAGAAAACAAAATTAAAAATCCTAGGTCTCAAACTGGCCAATATTTCTTTTAAAAATCATCTTTCCACATAATTTTACCGATTCACGATCAGGAATAAGTAATTACAGAACCATGAGGTTTGACTAAAAAATTCCAACACTTGGGCCTCCCCTGGTGGCAGAGCAGTTGAGCGCTGGGCTGCGAAGCTGCCTGCAGCCTCTGTAGCGCCAGTTCGATCCCCGGCCAGCGAGGGTCCCACATGGCTCACAGACCTCTCTTGCTGCCGGCTGCTCCCCTCAGCAGTGTATCTCAGTCAGTCTGCCTGTTCTGTTCCCCGCTCTGGCTCTGGTGAATTCTCTCACCCTCCTGCGCTTCTGACTATACCCAGTGCTTGTATAAATAAATGAATAAATCAAAAAAAAAAAAAGAAGAAGAAGAAAACATCTTAAAAAAAAAATTCCAACACTATGTTTATGAATGGTTATTATAAGTAATATAGGTCAAATTTTTAAGGACTCATTCAGAGATATCTGTAATCCCAAAATGTATTGTCTAGTGTTGTTTTTATTAAGTTGACCATCCATAGGCCTTTATAATCTTTTGTCAAGTTCTCTGTCACAGGACTGAAATCTGAATTTGCTGGTCTGTGATTGGCACTTTGGACATAGTAAAGCATGGGTTCGTTCATCCAGGGTCAAGAAACAGAATCATATTCTTAGCATCTTCAATATAATTCAAGTCCATGATCCTAATTGTTGTCCTAATCAAATTCAAACTTTGAATTTCTTATAGTGTTTGATGTTCCTTGAGTATCAAAGGACGAAAAAAATTTAAGTAACAGCTGTAAAATGTGTAATCAACTACTAGGGTTTTTTTTTTTAATATTAATGTTTGTGCTAGTGCAAACAAAAATTTATTGATGCTTACCATTTATAAAACTCCTTTTTTAAAATTTTATTTTATATATTTTTTACATCATTTTTCATTTTTGCACAATGTATGCATTTTCACCTTGGTTATATAGTCCCCATACAATTCCCACCCGCCCCCCCCCTTGTAATACTCCTTTAGGCTTTATCAGATATTTATGGTATCTTCAAAAGCACATTTATCTATACTACAAAACATGGTATAAGTGGTATAAAGAACATTTAAGAAAATATCATGGACTTCAGAGAGAAGGGAGATCACACCCTTGGGTCACAGAAAAGAACGTGAACCAAGCTATGGGGAAATGGGAGGTGCACAAGGATCATGTCTGGGAAACAATGAAAGCTACAGCTTGGCTAGAGCCAGGGCCCAAGGCAGAAACAAGATTCCAAAGATAGATGGGAACTATGCAGCCTGCAAAGGGCTCTGAAGTCAGGGAAGTCAGATGATAAAGCCACTCTGTGTGGCTGTGCTACAAACAAGGCTCAGCTTCTTGATGATACAAAAGCAACTAATGAAATAAACCAAGTTGAGAGCATAGGATCTGAATGTGTCACTAAATTGGGCAATAATCCAGAACAGGGAATAGGGGGTCTGAAGTAGGTGGCTCCCAGGTGGCAATGGGAATGGAAAGGTGGAAATTTACAAAGGTGTAAATACCATCCTAGTCTGGACATGTTATGTTTGAGGAATTAGGTACAAACATTTGTTACACAATTAGATGTATCACTAGAGCAATATTGAGGAGGGCTCCAAAATAAGGATGAGGTGCCCATCCTATCACAGTCAAGACAGTTCAAGGAATGTGAGTGAACAAAAAGAAAGAACACAGAGCTGAAGACTGACTCTTGGTGAATGACTACATTAGAAAGTGGAAAAAGAAGGGAACCTAATAAAAGTGACTACTGGTCTGACGTAAAACAAGCTAAATGCCATGAGAGCTAGAATGTCTGACAAGAGTTTAACAGAGTAGCTATCCTTACAGTGTCAAACACTAAAAAGGACTCATGAAAAATAAGTACTAAGAAAAATAAAAGCCCACTGATATGTGGCATTGAGGATATCTGTGATTTTTAAATGAGGTGACAGGGTTTCAGAAGGGGAGATGACAAGAGGAAGGAGTCACTAATCTTAGCAGTCTTTTAAAGGACAAGTGATAAATCCACTCTTACTTCTGCAAGGCAGTCAAATTCTACTATAAATCCTACAGTAGGGTGCTAGGAAACCCATGGAGAAGAAAAGGAGGGGAAAAAAAATCCCTTATCTGTAGCATTTTTCTTTATGATTTCATGATATAACTACTACGACCATAGCTGATTTCAAGCTGCCAACAGTTGGCAAAATTTCTGAAAATTTAGCAATTACTTACTTGCTGGTACAAGCTAATTCTAACATACGGCTGCAAACCACCTATTTTATAGTCTCCTATGCAACTGAGCAATACTATGACAGCTTCCCCTCTAAACTCATCTGATATTTAATCATTCTCTAGGACAACTTTGCAGCAATTCACAGACGTCTACCCTACTCTTATTACATCTAACTTTCTCAACTGTATTGCAGCTGAAAGGGTTAGATGTTGAAAGTCAAATGGCTTTCAAGTATGCCTGTCTTCACTAAGAATCACAAAGGAAAAAGACAATAATCATACACTCCAAAAGCCTTCTGCTAGTCATTTTATTGCTTCCTTTGCTAATGTCATCTCCCCAGCAAAACCTGAAATGACACTTAAATAAGTGTCAAAATAAAAGATACAACAAGAACCCAACATTCCACATAAGTACCAATCCCAGTGAAAGTTAACAAAGATAAAGATACTTATACTAAATCCTAATTGGATGTGGGGGAATGAGGAGTGTCAAACCCAACCCTGCTATTTGCTAGTGGTGTACCAGTAGCCCCCCACTTGCAGTTACAACTGAAAAATGGTAACAGTAATAATACCTACTATATAGGGTCACCCTTAGGTTTAATATGAGCACTTTTAGGGACTAGTCAGCAGGCGTAGGAACTTGCTGGGCTGGTACCCTTCAGAAAGCCATACTAGTTTGGTTACAGTACACTGCTTAAGTGTATGCCAAGAGTAAGGAGGAGGTTCATCTCTGTCATGGGACAGCTGGTCACCTGAAAAGGATGTTAAGTCTGTCCCCCAACACTTCCAGTTATCACCTGAAGCCAAAAATTCTTCTCACAGTTGTCCCTGGGATTCCCTAGACCCACAAGATGGAGACCAAAGAGCCCACCTAAACGCAGTCTCAGAGAGAGACAAAAATGTTGACAAAATAGAAAGGAAGAAGCCAACAGTTAGGTTCCTACTTGTGTCCATGTGACATTCAGCATCTCACCTCAACCAGGAAGTTCATCAACACCAGGAAGTTCATCAACCAAAACAATGGACCCAATCAACATAAAAACAAGTCAAGAACAAAACCTAGTTTCTAATATTTCACAACTTTTTCTGTCTGGCATCTTTCCAACTACCCATGATTTCATGGTATTCCATATGATCTTCTATCACTTACGGTATTTCTTCAGACATCTGAATAGAAGTGTTATCAAAATATTAAACAAATGTAGACGGAGCATAGAAGTTATCTACTTTCCACAACAACAACAGCGAGCTTTGAGAAATAAGGCAGTAACGTTCACAGCAATTTAATTTTGCCACTGCTAACTACTATTCCTTTACTGACAAGGGTATTAAATTCGTTACTGGCAAATACAATAATTCAAACTCTGTATATTCGTACATCAAAAAGTTTCACCTTAGACATCCGTCCCCCAACTTCCATAAAGTTTGCTACACGCACTCACACTTCTCCAGCAACGCCAGCTTGGGAGCAAAGGCAGATCTCCATGGTAAAGATCACTAACTGTGAACGTACATTCCATTCTGTAGAATAATTGTGAATCGAGTGTTTTCCACAAACCAAAGCCATATATCCACTCACCCAACCTCCTTTCCCTCACGCTTGGCTCCTCCTTCCCTCGACACCCCCATATCTCCCAGGCCTTCAGGGGTGAATTCGGGCTTTTTCATCTCCCACTAAGCCAAGCAGCGCCGCCCCTGCCTCCAGGGCTCGGGAGGCTGGTCCGCGCGGCACCGCACAGGGCCGTCGCCCGAGCTGGACAGAGCACAGCGCCTACCTGCAGAGCGAAGCCGCGGACAGAGTGACGCACTCGGCGGGCTCCCGTGACAGCGGGTCACCGTCGCGGCCGCGCAGGGTCAGAGCGCGGGTCCGAGGCCCTCGGCCGCCGGGGCCGGGTCTGGACGCCGCGCCGCCCTCCGCCGCCCCCGGGAGCGGCTGGCACCACAGCGCGGCCGAAGACCCCCTCAGCCCCCTTCAGTCCCCCTCAGCCACCCTCAGCCACCCTCAGACACCCCCGCACCCCGCAGCCGACCCGGTCGGGGCTGCTTCTCCCCGGACGCCCGCCGGGGCCGCCGAGCGGGTTACGCGTCCTCAGAGCCCCCGCCGGTCTAGACCCCGCCCGCGCGGAAAGCGCGCGCCCCAGGCTCACGCAACTCCGGCCGCACACACCTCTCGCTAGCGTCCGCAGGGTCCACCTTCTCCTCCGCCGCCGCCATGGCCGCCGTCGCCGCGCGAGACCCAGCCGTCTCTCCAAGCCGGCTGACAGGCCGACTGGGGCCGCCCCAGGCCGCCGCCGCCCTTAAGGCCGCCGCCGCCCGCGCATGCGCCGCCCGCCCCCACCCGCAGCCTTGGCGGCGCGACCGCGCTTGCGCGAGCTCGGCCAGGCCTCACCCCCAGCCTCACCCAAGCCGCGCATGCGCCTCCCCGCCCGGCGCGCGGGGTGTGGGCGTAGGGCCCGTCACTCTGTAGGGGAACCGGTGAGACAGGCAGTAAATAAAGTCAACGATGATCGTATGAACGCATCATCCCCTGACCTTCACGGTCAGGTGCTGGGCACTGGGCAGGCACCTGGGAGTACCCTGGGGACTTAGGTGCCCTGGAAGGACGGTGTTAGATGACTGGTAGTTGCTGTAATGGCGACTGGAAATTTTGTAATGAGTATAACCTTTCGCCAGCACATTCCCACCGGTAGGTAGACAGGGGAGAGGACAACTCACACGACTCTTTAGTCAAACTGTATCCTCTGACGTGCGGGGCACTGGGTTGGGCACTCCCAGACCAGCAACTCCCATCCACCTCGCGCTCTGTATACACGAGAGACCGCAGAAAGTCAGTGGCTAGGTGACTGTGGAAACTGACCCTCTCCTACCCCCGCTTCTTGGACCCTAAGAAGGGTCCTGCATCTATATCTGGGGGGCACCTGCATCTATATCTGACTGGCTGGTTGTTGGGAACTGGACTGCCTGGAGTATGGTTTCCAGCTCAGTGGTGCTGAGTTCAGTAACAAAACTTAACGGATGTGGCAGCCCCTTCAGAAAGATGGGTGGTATAGGCATGCATCCCCAAGAGGTCTTGTGGGACCCGGCTATGAAGGGTCCATCACTCTGTAGGAGTGCTTTTAAACTGTTGCACAGTTTAAAAGGAGAGGGGAGAGGCACATGATTAAGGTTTCTCAGGCTCTAATCTACCTGCAAACTTTTGTGGATCTTGTTAATATACAGATTCCAATTTTGCAAGTTTGAAAAGGGACCTGATTCTCCGTTAATTAATAGAGTTTCTCTATTCTAACCATTGCCCAGTGATGCCTGTGTTTCTGTGGCCAGTCAGCAAACTACGATTTAAATTACAGAGTTCTAGAGCAGTCCTGTCCACTGGAACTTTCTGCAATGATGGAAATACTCTAAAGCTCCCTGGTCTAATATAATAGCCATGAGTCATATGAAATTATGGCGCACTTGAAATTTTAAGTTTTAAAATTTTACTTAAATTGTAAAAACCACATGAGATTAATGGCCAACACGTTGGATAGCAAGGTCTAGATTTATTTATTTATGCATACAAGAACTGGGGTACAGGCCAGAGTTGAGGGGGTGAGAGGATTTACCAGAGACAGAGTGGGAACAGAATAGGCAGACTGACTGAAACACACTGCTGAGGGGAACGGTGGGCAAGACAGGAGAGGTCTGTGCCATGTGGGTTGCTCCCTGGCCAGCTGGGGATCGAACTTGCACTGCAGATAGCCCCATAGTGCTGCACTCAACTCCTTGTGCCACCAGGGAGGCCCGATAAGGTCTAGATTTTAAATTCCTCGTGTATAAAAATGAGAGTTTGAGATGAAACCATTTCCAAGGTTCCTTCTGACATCCACATTGTTGGGGTAAGTGGGGGGGGGGTTGATGAAGGGGCAGATATTAAAGTCTAGAATGAAGCATAAGAGGTTGAGAGTGCCATCAAACGGGAAGAGGGAAGAGGAACATGGTCACCTGGAGACTAGATTCTAGAACTCACTAGTGGAACTTATCCTCCAGACACAAGGCATTCTGACTAGCCAGTGAATGTCAGTTGAACTCTCAGAACCAGATAAAAAGCAGGGCCATAAAGGAAAAATAGAGATTAATTAACCACATCAAAACCTAAAGCATCTGTGTGAAAAAAAAACAACAACAATAAAACACAATGCAAAAATATAGAACAGACTAGGAAAATTGATTTGGGACATATGAAGAAATCAAATTTAATTTACCAAGAAAAAAATGAAAAAAAATACAAAGTAGATTTTAAAAATTCTTCTGAGAGGAGAAAACCCTCAAGCCAAAAATAGCCACAAGATGCTAACACTCATCTGTGATCAAGGGAATGCAAATTGAAACCACAATGACTTAAATGAAAAAGGCTCATGGTACTTATTTGCAAGAACCTAAATCAGGGCCTCCCCTGTGGTGTAGCGGTTGAGCGCTGGGTTGCAAAGCTGCCCGCAGCCTCTGCAGCGCCGGTTTGCTCCCCGGCCACCAAAGGAGGGTCCCACATGGCCACCAAAGGAGGGTCCCACATGGCCACCAAAGGAGGGTCCCACATGGCATACAGACCTCTCCAGCCACCCACTACTCCCTTCAGCAGTGTACTTCGGTCCTTCTGCCTGCTCTGCTCCCCGCTCTGGCTCTGGTGAATTCTGTCACCTTCCTGCGCTACCCAGTGCTTGTATAAATAAATAAATAAATCTTAAAAAAAAAAAAAAAAAAAAAAGAACCTAGATCAGTGCTACCACTTAGTTGAGAGTGCCAAGTCATTTTGAAAATGGTGTAGTAGTTATCTCTGAAGCTGTCTGCAGCCACTGCAACATGAGTTTGCTCCTCAGCCCCGGAGCTGCACACATAGCGCTGCAGACCTCTCCTGACTCGCGCGCCACTCCCCTCAGCAGTGTATTTCAGTGGATCTGCCTGTTCTGCTCCCCACTCTGTCTCTGGTGAATCCTCTCACCTCCCACACCTCTGGCCTGTACCCCAGTTCTTATATGCTTAAACAAATAAATCTTTAAAAAAAAAAAAAAAAAGTAAAACTAATGTGCCCTCGGCCTGGAAAATTGACTTCTGGGAATCTGACCTTTCTCATGTACATGTAGAGAAGACATACACAGATGTTCCCATCAGTATTCTAATAGCATAAAAAATGTTATTAAGAATGCCCATAATTAAGTAAATTTTTGTTCCCCCTCCTCCCATAACATTAAATATTAAGGGGATAATAGGAACTAAGAAAAATCAGGTATATCTTTGTATGCTAATATGGAGAACTGCAGACCATTGATGTGTAAGAAAAGTAAAATCCATTAAATATTAGCCAAAAGTTGATATTAGTATGTTTAATTTTATTTTTTTATTTTTTAAAAAAGATTTATTTATTTATGCATACAAGAGCTGGGGCACAAACCAGAGATGCGGAGGGTGAGAAGATTCACCAGAGACAGAGTGGGGAACAGAACAGGCAGACTGACTGAAATACAATGCTGAGGGGAGCAGTGGGTGAGACGGGAGAGGTCTGCTTCGCTATGTGGGTTGCTCCCTGACAGGCCCGGGATCAAACTCGCTGCAGAGGCTTTGGATTGCTTCATAGTGCAGTGCTTAACCCCTTGCGCCACTAGGGAGGCCCTATGTTTGATTTTAATAAGATAAATTCCTAACTAACCAATCAAGAGAAAAAGAAGAAAAAGAAGGCATGCATTTAACAAAGAGAAAGAGCACAAATAAAATAGAGTGAGCATTGCATGATGTTGTCCCCTCCTGTCCCCATAGCTTATAGTGCTTACAACACTGGGACAGTGGATGTGTGTGTGTACATCAGACCTACAGCAGCACCAAATCTCCCCATCCACATTCAATCAAAAATCACATAGTCGTGGCCCATAAAATAGTTACCAAGTTTGTACCAGCTCTCATAGTGTTGTCCTTCTAATGCTTTTCATGACTCATTAGGAAACCCAGACTTAGAGAAGAAAGTTATAGAAATGTTTGTCAGTGTTATGCTACGATGCCACTGAAGGTGGGAGCAGGAAAGAGAGGAAAGGATGAGGCAAGAGGGGCTAGCATTCAATTTTCAGTCATGTTCCCTGATCCTAAGAAATTTGAAGTCATCATGATTTGGGGACAGAATTTTAACAATGTTCCTTTCCTCCGCATTTCGTTTGATTATAAGAGAAGAGCCTGGACTTTTATTTTCAGTAGAATCAATATTTTTAAAAGGATATGTCCCATCATGTTTCTGATCTTTTATCTTTCTCTGGGCTGCTTTTTTCTGATCAATCCATGCTGAAAATAACAGGCATCCTAATAAATCATGGAAAATGTTGCCCTCCAAAATGTTGACATTGAAAATGTCAGTTGCCTTTCTGTGTTTGAACTTCCAAGGGCAAAATGCATGTCTGTAGCCATTATTTATGCCACTGAATGTTGGTAGCAGGGGATGGTTTATACATTAGCAGAAAGAAATCATTCATACCCATAATTCCCCCTGACATTAATGTTGCCTGTTTATTCACCACCTCATCATTTTGAAAATGCATCCTTGAATTTCATACAGCTTATTGAATAGCCATTCCATTTAGTCTGCACTTGTGGTAAAAAGGCAAATAGCAATTGGTGTCTTGACTCTCTTGCATTTTCTGATGAGTGGGAAATAGCTGTTTAGGATGCAATAAATACTTGGTTCTAAATAATTCAGCAAACTGTCTTATTTAACTTTAGCTCTTCAGGCATGCAGAGAAGAAACAATTTTCACCCATCATTGATTCCATACTGAAATATGTTCTGATTGTCCATGTCCACAGCTGAAGAAAATTTGGGTGGTGTGAGTGGATGAACAGTTAGTGAAAATGCTATTCTAAGTCAGTGCAAAACTAGCAATGATCTTACTGCTTACCTACATGACTGGAGCCGTCACTTAACTGATTCATGAGTTTGCTGTTAAAATATTTAGGAATTTTATGAGGAGGGTGTTAAACCTTAGAACTTCAAATGGGAAGTATTTACAGCACAGGAATTAGAAATCACCTCGAACTGGAGTTCATTTTCTTTTTTTGAGAGCTGGTCTACTAACACACTATTGCCTACCATTTCTCAATGTAGGAAGGGAGATGGCAGGCAAAGAAATGAAGGCTTCACAGGGGAAAAAATTGTACAAATAGACTGAAATACACAAAAAAATAGACAACAGAGATATAATTAGTATCTCTAAAGGGATACAGCTAGAGATAGACATAGTTAAACATTTGAAAGACATACACCTGG